TAGGAAATGACCTGCTCAGTAGCACGGAAGCAGAAAGGGATCTTGGAGTCCTAGTGGACTCCAAGATGAACATGAGTCGTCGGTATGACAAAGAAGTCATCAGAAAAGCTAACTGCACTTTATCGTGCATCAGCAGATGCATGACATCAGAACCAAGGAGGTGATACTTCCCTTGTACTGGGTACTGTTCAGACCGCAGTTGGAATACTGCGTGCAGTTTTGGGCGCCACACTTCAAGAGGGATGTGGATAATCTGGAGATGGTCCAGAGAAGGGCCACTCATAAGGTTAAGGGCTTGCAGGCCAAGCCCTACGAGGAGACACTAGGGCACCTGAATCTCTTCAGCCTCCGCAAGAGAAGGTTGAGAGGCAACCTTGTGGTTGCCTATAAATTCATCATGGGGGCGCAGAAGGGAATTGGTGAGGCTCTACTCACCAAGATGCCCCCGGGGTTCACAAGAAATAATGGCCATAAGCTAGCAGAGAGCAGATTTAGACTGGACATTAGGAGGAACTTCTTCACAGTTAGAGAGGCCAAGGTCTGGAATGGGCTCCCAAGGGAGGTGGTGCTCTCCCCTACCCTGGGGGTCTTCAAGAGGAGGTTGGATGGGTATCTGGCTGGGGTCATCTGAACCCAGCACTCTTTCCTGTCTATGCAGGGGGTCGGGCTTGACGATCTATTGAGGTTCCTTCTGACCCTAATATCTATGAATCTATGAACTCTCAATATCTCTGGAAGAAATGGCTTTTTTAACCCAACACAAGACTCTGTTAACACAAACAGACCTGAAAAATGGGTCTTTTCTTACTGTTCTACCTCCATTCTTCACCTCAAGATACCGCAGAAGTAGCAGCCAAAGTATGCACTGCAAATAAGGCTAGAATAAAATATAGACAACAATTATAATCAGTCAAAACATGTTTAGCCCCTTGATGCCTGAGGCCTTGGGGAATTGCTTTTCTGTCAGTAATCATTTTTTCCAGAAAGACTACAGTGGATAGGCAGATCAAATAAAGTCAATTCTCTCTCCAGAAGAAAGAGTTAACAATCAAGTCGAAGGCAATAAAACTGTATTATTAACCAATGCTCTGGGAACCCAAAGGAATCTCTCTCTAAACATCTTTTCAGTACGACTCCCATATATATCTGGCTTTAGGCAGAATAATGATGACAATAAACTAATTAAGGCTTTCAAATGGATATTTCAAACTGAATCTTTATGTAATGCTTTCCAGCCCTTCAGCCCATACATCAGGACAATAATGGGGGAAAAAGTTATTAAAAAGAAGCTGAATCTGGATGGGGATTAGCAGGCTGACATGACACCTTCTCTTCTTAGTGGCTCCTCTCAGTCTGTCCTCAGGCAGCAGACACCTTTATTACATTGTAAAGGCTGTAACTTGGCCTATATTAAATGAGTAAATTTCAACTCAGACTAGTCCCTAGGACATAAGGGCCTACTTCATAAAACGAATCAGAACTCATGGTAGAGGCTATATCTTTTATTAGACCAAATACATGTTTGCAAAAAGAATTACTTTATTCCCAAGCTTTTGGGAACAGGCACCCTTCTTCTGGGTAGAAATTTCTTATGTGGTAAGGAAATTCCTGCCCAGAAGAGCATTTCATCTTTATACTCTTTTGTGAAATATGAAACATCATAACCAGAAGGAAATATGACTACATCCTGCTTGCCACCAAACAACGAGGTAAACAGACAGTTCCAATTTTTCTCTGGGTCTAATCTGCATAAAAAGAACAGATCCAAACATGAGATTCTACCACATCTTCCCCTCTCCTATGAAATATGAACTTTCACTTCTACCCAGGAGAAATTTTACAATCTTTTCTCCTATGCCTGAAGAAGGGTGACTGATCCCCAAACCTTGCAAATAAAGAAATATTTTTGCAAGCATCTAGTTGTTCTAATAAAAGATATCACCTCTACCATGAGTTTTGATTCCTTTTGCCTCTAGACCAATATGGCTACAACCTGGAAAACTACCTCATAAATAGTATTTCAACTGGAGAGTAATGGGCAAACACAAGAAAGAGGCTGGTAAGTGAACAAAGACTCAGTGCCTCACTTTTATGCAGTGCCTTGGATCCCTTTAAGGGTGCCAACAAGATACCATGCAATGTTAGCACTGTTAGGTGTGCACATGTGATTCACAAGCTAAACCAAGAGATTCCAAGTACAAATCCATAGTGTTAAAAACATTCTGACCTATTGTGGCCTTTCCAAGTTCTTTGTAACAGAATTTGCTCAATTTTATTTTGTACAGTATAACCTCATAAATCTGGCGTGTTTGGGACCAAGTACCTGTTGGAAATTTGAAAATGCCGGATTTTTTAAAACAATGCAGTGGCTTGGGGAGGGGTAGCAGCGCCCGGTCCCAGAGCAGCGGCTGCATGCGGAACAGCGGCGCAGGGTGGTGAATGGTGGCGGTAGCTGCCACATGCAAGCTTCCCCCTCCACGTCCAGGAGGGCAGAGGGGAGCAGCAGCCTGTCCCAGAGGGAAATGTAAAATTTTTGATAATTCTGGATTTTTGATATCTGGATTTATGAGGTTATACTGTAGTAAAAAAGAGTGAAAATGAAGAGCTGGCATTTTCTGAGACATGTTTTGAGTCTGAAAAGGTTGAGAACCACTGGTGTAGCATGTAGGACCATCAGCAGAGGGGCAATAGCACCAGGATAGGGAATTAAAAAAAAAGAACCAGTCCAAGCTAATACTCCCCCAGCTCCTCCGATCCCAGAACTGGACAGGGAGAACCTCCTTCCCCTGAAATGGTGGAAACCCTCCCCCAGAACCTAAACAGTGGTTCTGCCATGGATAGCATGTCAACGTGGCCTTGGTGGGGTTGAGGGGGAGGGTAGATACTGTGGGGAAGAACCAACCAGAGACCTCACAGAAACTGTAAAAAGATTTTGGGACACGACAAGGATTTTGCACAGTTCCAACAGAGGCTTTCTTGTCCCCTTTCCCTTCACCTTCCTTTCCATCTGGCTTATCCCTCCTAACTACTTGTCACCATTTGGCCCTTCTCCCAAACCACCAAAGAAACTGAACAAAATGCTGTCTGGCGCCATCACTGTGTACTCTGCTTGTGAAAGCTTTGTGTGCGTCTTATTTGCATGACAGCTCTTGTGGTACAAGGGCTACTCTGCATTTGCCCTACAACTAGCAAAAAAGCAACCCATTCTTCATTGTCCTAAGATACTACCATAATACCATGATCAATAATAGTCCCACCAGCGCTACCTACCCAGGCTAGGGCTGAATCACACTAAAACAGCAGTTTGTACTGCTGCATCTTCCCGCACAGCTAATTTAGTACCTTTTACAAATAGTAAATAAAATCTTAACCTTACAAAAGAAAAATGTCCTTGAGAAGTGGCTTTCCACTGAAAGTTAACCAGCAATTTATAGCAAACAATTGGTGCTTACTGCTACAACTGCTATCACGAGTCTGTTCCCTGGATTATGGTATTCTTCATTCTTTCGCTGGTCTTTCCATGAGACCTGACAATGTGACAAATAGTTAAACAATTAAATCAGCGGATGCTGCATATTTTACATGTACATTTACTGTCTGCTGACTGCTACTTTTAAAACATTGTAATAGAGTCAAATCCTGCATAACAACCATAGGAAGAACCAAAATCAAAACCTACCTATTATTCTGTTTAGCTAGTGAGAAGGCAGGACAAAGTTGCAGCTTATCGTCTAATTTGGAGATGCATTTATTTAGTCAGCAAGCTGCAACACTGCCTTGCCTTTTGCCTAACTTTAGGCTAACAAAGCTAAATACTTCTATTTGCCTAATGGTACAATCTCCAAAGCAAAATGAGAGCTTGACTGCACAGACAGATACAAGAGAAATCTGCATTTACATGTCATTTAACATCTTTGTTTCTTTTCAGTATCTGAGACACCATCATTCTGCTGACACAAAGAAGTTAAAAAAGAATTTAAAAAAAATTTAAGTGCCAGATGCTATTTATAACTGACTGTATGGCTATGGGGTGATGTTACAGAGCAATATGGACAGAAACTTCCACATCAACATGTCTGTATATTAGTGGACTTCCTTGCTACCACCAGCCAGAGTTCTAGATAACTGAAATTTTAAAAATACCCAAAGGCCTACCTTTATAAAAGAAATCAGGCATCCAATAAGAGGGTAGATTGGAATGAAAATGGAGAAGATGTAATGAAGAACAGTGGTTACAGTATAGTAGCCCATGAAGAAAGCCACTTCAGTGACAACGGTGCAAACCAAAGCTGCCTAAAAAACAAGGAAAAGGGAAAAATTGATCTGTTTGTAAGTGAATCTAAATCTTAGCACTTTAACTCGAAGGGTCGTTTGTTTTATTCCAGGGGCAATACAAGTTTTCAAAAGTTTTTGGTGAAGATATAAGCTGAGACAGAGAAATCAAGCAAAAAAATATTTATGTTCAAGTAACTACATGTAAAAAAGAGATTGAGTAGATGGTAATATTTTAAATATCAGGGAATCTTTTTCCAAATGATATTTGGAAAAGAGAAATGAATTTGGGCTCTAGGAAATGCTTAAAATTAACCAAACACACCAGAAATCACTTACCACTGAAAAAATAAATGACCAAAATTCTCTAGTATTTTGAATTTTTTTAAATGTGAAAGAAACCACGTATGTGAACAGCACAACTGAAGGTGCATAGCCAATAAGACAGAAGATCTGCAAGAAAAGAAATATGTATTACTTTGTAAGTATGCATGCAGTAAAAATGCTACTTCCTGCAAACCTGGTATGAAAATGTTCAGTGTCTGTGAGGTTCATTTCAATTTTTGAATTAATCTTTTGTGCATTAATGCTTTGAAATGCTGTACTCAGCATGACAAATGTGGTGTGTATCACTAAGCAGTCAAATAAACAAGCGTGCAGTGCTAGCAAGACCAGTCTCATTTTGTGATGAACTCTACTAAAATAACGTCTTAAAAAAAGCAAGCAAACCATCTCCTCCTCCAAACCATCCAAACATATGTATTTTTATTGACTGGTTTCCATTCTACCAACTGGGGATTTAAGTGGACTTTAGCACCTAATTCTAAGTCCTAAATATACGAGTACACCTGCTTATTAAACACCCCTCACCTAACCTTTAAGATGTTATAATAAAAAGCAACGAGGCAGCAGTGGCCCCATCCAGCTTTTGTATTAACAGTTTTTCATAGACTCATGGAACAGAGTAACAACTACATACCCAAGCGGATTTACGCACCTAACAGGTGGAACAGAATCTGACCCTAGTGCTTTGAAAATGCTCCTTCATGAAAAGAGAGAGGAATAAATAAAACTAAACTTACCACAGCAAGGAACTTCCCAACATAGAAATAAACACCATAATGAAACGCAAATAAGCTTCCTATCATTAAGCCAAGAATAAAGAAAAATAAAGGCAGATCAATGATTGCTTGTCCAGTCCAGTAAGCAGATGGGTAAAGGCCTGATATTTTAAGCTGAGTGTAGGCTTTGATCTGTAAGAGAAAAAATGCCAAGCGTGGCCATGATGTTTTTTTTCTATTACTGCGTAAAAAACAGGCCTAATTTTGCTCACAAAGAGCACTGACTCTACAGTAGCAGGATTCCAACATCTTCAACAGAACCATTCCTGACTTGCAACTTTTAGGTGTCATGGGAAATACTGCGTGTATTGACATCTGTTAAAGAACTTCTTTTGTTAGTTTGGGGGAAAAGGGAAAGAATACCAGACAGGAATATGGACTGGGGGCCCTCTACAATTCTACTTCCATTGGCTTGTGATAGTGCGCTTTGTTGGCATTAGTGTACGAGGAGCCTTGAGTGTCAAATTTAAAGCTCCAAATCAACAGCCAGTTCCTTCCATATGCAAAAAGGCAGGTTTTCTGCTCATATTTATATCTCTACTACTATTTAGCTAAATAGAATTGAATTTTGCATGAAATTCAATTCATGCACATTTATCCTTGGGTTACGTACATCTATCAACCCCCCCGGCACATTTTAGTTCTTTCGAAAATTGAGATTCGACATGTCATTTGGTTCTGAAGCTGTTGTGCTTCAGGAAAAAACCATCCAACCACTGTGTCTTAGCCATTAACTGTTTACTACCTGATGGTTGTATCCTCTCAAAATGAATTTTCCAGAATTTTTTTTTTCAGATGCTTACTTTTTAGCAGATCTAAAACTGCATATTTTAATTTAAATTACCTTTTGGTTTTCTGCATTCTCCATTGCAAAATATGGTGGAATTCCAGTTACAATGATTCCTAGCAACACAGCTTCAAAGTAAAGTTCTAGTTTGAACACGGCATCAACAGTTTCCTGAAAAACAACCCAGATTTCATCATCATCATGAAGCAAGAGCTGAAACCAAGAATTTTTCACCCATTCTTTTAAATAGTTTCTACATATAATTTCCTCTTGTCTTATACAAAGCTGTACCTAAGAATGGCATCTTAGGTACAGCTTTACATAAGATTAAAAATCTTTAAATGATCTAGGCCAATATGGCTGCAACCTGGATACTTTTAAATGATCATTACATTTATTTTCAGCCTATGTGTTAATACAAAAGCATATTTCTTTAATCAGCAAGTCTGCCATGGAAATAATATAAAAATGATATGAAAAATGATGCATTTGTAATATGTACATGACTGACCAAGAATTAGTTGCAAAAAAGGACATTTCAATGTTAGTAAGACTTCTGAAATAGCAACACACAAAAACCCCACAGTAATGTTTTGAGCAGATTTCAGTCCAGTTAATAATATTAATATATTTAGAACATTTTGAAAATATGGTAATTCAAAACATGAACATCTGACTGCTGCTATCTCCTCTTTACTGTTCTTGGTTATTAAAACCCTTGTTTCCTTCATGTCTATTCAGAATACTTCTAGGATGACCTTTTTAGCTTATCCCACTCCTGTTAACCCTGACTTCAAGTCGTTCTGTCACTTCTTTCAGCTTCACATTAAATACCAGCTTCCTCAGTGCAATCCTAGCCCTCCTGAAGGGTAGAATATCATCCCTTATCTTAAAGCCCCTTCAACAACTCATACACCTCCCATCTATCCTGAGCTGGTAACCTATGAAACATCACCTGCTGCCTTGATCCTGCCAGCATTCCCAACAGTTATCACTCATCAGCTTTACCATTGAATAACTAGGTGTATGCTCCCACACTGCCCCGACACAGGAAAAAACTCAGTCATTCTTTTTTACCCATCACTATCTTACCTTCCTTTAAAGCCTTCCTTCAGACGCACCTCTACTGTACAGTTCTTCTAATCAAAGCCAGGCAGGTGACAAGCTGTGACTTGCCATCCATTTCTTTTCCTACTTAAATTCCAATATCTTCCCTTATTTTCCATTTCAAATCCCTCTGCTTAACTAGGGTCTATTTTCTATGTTTGTACAGTGTCCTGGATTGAATATCATGTTTACACTCAAAAGAAAAAAAAATGTATGAGGACGGAGGAATTAAAATTAAAAATCATAGTGCTTAATGTGCAATATCTCATTAACTTAGAAACTTTAAATTGTAAAAAAGGCAGTAATATATTATGCCTTAAAATGCCTATACTTAGAACTTTCTTGCAGACTTTGCATTTAGATCAACATATTCTTATTTGCTCAAAGAAGGATCTTACATTTCAAGAAATACTTAACCACACGGAACAGAGCACACTTGCACATGTAACTGTAACTGAAATTCTGCTGCTGTTATTTTGCTGCAAACATATGATCTTGACTAAACCCTGTGACATTTGTGTCTGATCTGAACTCCACTTACTTGAATGAATGGGTTGCTCCATATCTGAATGCTCTCAGTCACATTTAAGTTGTGGAGAACCAGGTTGCTAATGACATTCATCAAAACAGGGAGGGAATGCACCATACTACTGTTAAATACAGCAGCAAATATGTAATTCTACAGGGTAATAAAAAAAAGGTTTCAGTGTTATTTCTGCATTAACAGCTGGACAGATCTAATGTGAAATGAACTGCTACAAATCACTGAACTGAACTGATTACAATGAACTATTACAAACCACTAGCAAACACTAGCTCCAGATACTTCATACTCTGAAAAAATATTAATGATGGCAATGGAAAAGCAATATTCTCCAAGTCTTATCACACACTTTCACATTAAATCATATTCTAGTTTCCAAAGACAATACTTTCATTTATACAGTAATCCATGCATCCCAAATATTCAGCTTTTTTACCAAACTAGATAGTGATTGCACAACCAATTCTGGTGAGGTCCAAAAGGTGAATATAAAATGAATTGAAAATAGATGCAAGAGTCTAATATGAAGGGAGAGAGTTTGATGCACACATTTAAGGCTTGTATTTGAGATATTTAAGAAACCCAAAGCAAAAAATACTTAAAGAAATCTGCTCAAACTGTTAGAAACTACTGCTAGCATGCCCTTTAAATCAGGGTGGGCAATTATTTTGGTGGGGGGGAGGTTGTGGGGACCCCTGCACGTTCTCCCTATGGTGCGCAGCCCCCGCAGGTGGTAGCAGCGGCAGCAGCAGCAGCAGCAGGCATGTATCAGTTGTTACATCTTAGGATTCAGGCGCTGCTGTGGTACAGGCACTACTGCCTAGCAGCGCGTGGCTCCAGCCAGTGCTGCACATCACAGCAAGGAACACAGCCTTGCTGGGCTGCCTCTATCGCCTGGGCTCACTGTCGTACACGTGGAACTCCCACACTCGTGCGCCACCGAAGGGAAGCTCCATGAGCTGGAGCCAGCTGCCTTCCCCGCCTGTTGCTGTGCAGGTCCTGGGACTCCAGAGGGAAGCAGGGGCTGGGGCTCCCCTACACTTCTGGCAGAGTCCTGGGACCTGCGGGGCAGGGGGTGGGGAAGGCAGCTGGCTCCACTGCATGGAGCTTCCCTCCAGTGGCACAGGAGCAGAGTATGCATTTACATGGTCACTACTATCTTAAAATAAAATAAGAATGATATCATAAGAAGAGTCAGATCCAGCACAGCACCACAAAAACTTAATTACGTATTTCAGAAAATAAGTAGTTTCTCACCTTTCCTGAATTAAATATGTTTAAAGCTGCTGTATGCGGAGATGCTGACACATAATCACTGCTATTGAATACCTCAGTCAGTATGTTAAGGCTCCTGAGAGAGCTGATGATATCATCAATATCTGATCCTAAAATGAGACAAGAAAGAAACTACGGTACCTATTCATCACAAAGGCATCTGGTTGGATGAATCTTTACACAAATGTTCTGAACACATTTTCAATCAATACAATGAGTAATTTATTCATCTCTACTATGAAAAACCATAGGAATATGCAGGGAACTAAATCAGAAGATTCTTCAGATGTTTTAAATGTTGTTCCTGTTTCAATTTTAGCTCATTCGTTCAGAATCCATGTTAATATTTGAATAAAGGAAATGCTAGTGGTGTACACCAAATTAAGATGTACTGTAGTTCACACTGATTACTAAGACTATATTTTAAATATAGAGAATTTTTAGTGGAATTAATTAACACAATTTAACTTTATTTTTGAGAAAAGATTCCGGTATGGAAGGATGGCAAAGGAGGTAGTAACATACGTCAATTCTGTGCATATATTTGTTACATACAATATTTTTAAAGTACTGACAACAGGTTCATAAACTTTAATACATGAGACTTCAAAATACAAAGGTGCCTAGACTGGAAACTGAAACAAAGTGAACTTCCGACATTGGACTAACTCTACCCCCACCAGTTTTAAGGCTGGGCACTCACCAAGATACATAGCGTTCTGTAAAGGTGAAGCAAAAATCTTGATCTGGTCCCTGCACTGGGGGTACCTGCCATGAAGTAGCCCTAAGTAGCCCCAGGACAAAACCCTTGCTGCCTTCCTTATATCTACACCCTGATGGGGAATTTGAAAGTCCCACCCTTATATTTTGAGTGGCTCTCTTTAGAACACTGTTTTCCTTCTCCCACTAAGATAAAGGAAGAAAAAGACACAGAATTTCTCAGCCTTGATCCTACACATTTTTAAAATTAAATTTGGATAGACATTAGACTGGGCTGGTTAAAAATCCATTACAGGATATTAATATACAGCATTCCAGTTTTCAGCAACATAACTAACTAGGGAAAATAAAAGCCACTTGCCATTTTAGAAATCTCAGCTATCCACTTTAGAAATCTCAGCTATCCATCTCAGTTGCCATTTTAGAAATCTCAGTGATCAGTCTTAAAAACTCCAGGATGCACATTACACTTTTCTTTACTTTCTGTATTCTTTACTGCCTCACATCAATGAGAGACTTTAAAAAGACACAATTAAATCTGCACCATGAAAGGCACAATAACCATCCATTAAACCTGTATTGTCTTTTTCAGTCCTACCTGTGGAATTCTGAAGGAGGAGACTTGTTTTGTACTTGTGAGATTGTTGTCCAGGTTTCAGAAAGTACATATCTGGGGAGAGTCTGAGAGGAACTACAGCATTTTTCAAGTAGTGACGAATGAAAAACATAAAAATCTGAACTACAAGGAAAATTAAGAAAAGCAACGATCTGGAAGAAATAAAAACATTATAAGTGCAGTTCAGTAAAAACAGATCACAACTGATGCAAATTATTTTCATAACTAACATAACCTGTTTGTCAGTAGACAATTTCATCCAACTAATAAACATACTACTGTTAACTGCAGTTATGCAAGTTTAACTCATGGACTACGGTTAATTAAGCAAAACTCTGAAAGACTCTCAAAAGCAAAGTTCCTTCTTCAACCATGGTTAGAAAGTGAATACTATTCAGAAGAATAGCACTCTCCAGCAATCAATTGCTTAGGCCATCCTGTGGGCATGTCTACACATGCATTTACTGCGCAGTAACTTACTGAGCAGTACACAGTTTTTACACCAGTGCCTACATGCAAATGCATTACAGCGCAGTAACACTGTGTAGACTGACCTGGGGCTAAATTTAATTCCAGATCAGTCCACACACACAGCGTTACTGCACAGTAAGGCATCTATATGTGCCTTACTGTGCAGTAACTACTTGGACGTAAATTTGCTACCTGCATCAAACTGGCGTGAGTCACCATAGTTACTGCGCAGTATCAGTACGCACATGTAGACACATGCCCGTACCTCATAGTAATTCTTGATTACTGTGCAGTAACCTAAATTACTGCACAGTAACTGTGCACCTGTAGATGTGCCCTGTATGACCAAAATCTTATTATATTGGCACCATCAAATTTTATCAAATTCTTCCAAAGCTATGCCCACACAAAGAACCAGGAGAAAATATTCAATGACAGCACCATATAGAATGGTACCAATATTGATTAGCATCCACATTATAGATATATAAAAACCATAACAACAGATTAGCATCTTCCCCATTTTTACTACTAAAATTAATTCAGAAATCAAGTATTTTGTAAAACAAACAAAGCCACCATACTCACATAATTCTCAGTGACTTATTCTCATGTCTTAAACTGAGGAAGTGAACCCTGGCTATTGCAGACACCTGCTGTTTCCAAAGGGCTACGTTGCTCTCTATGGAGGATTTTGTCTCAGAGAGTACCAGTAGGCTTTGCTCCATCTCATCAAGTGATTTTGCATCTATTTCCTCCTGTACTTGCTGAGAATTAAATACGCTATAATCTGGAGGAAAAGGAAGTGAGATAAAAAGAAAATGGAAGCCTACACAGTTTGCCTATGGTTTGGAATCTTGTCAACACTGGCTATTTCAGCAGCAGGCAGAAACTTTATACAATACATGCAACACACACACAAATGCATTTCTCATCCCTGAGGAGTCTTCAGATACCCAGGAACAGGAGCAGGAGCTAAGAAGTATGTGCAATTAATTGTGGTGGTAAACAATGGCAATTAATTTCAACTCTGATCTGCAGATACAAACAGGATATTCAAATAGGATAACTGAGTGTCTAAATCAGATTTTCTTTGCCTAAAACTGAGTATAAGCACAAACTTTCAAGTGGAAAAAGAAAAAGTACATTTTTCAGGATTTGGTCCTGAAGTTTACCTGTACCTTAGCAGAGCAGGGCTGGAGAGCCAGGAAAATCAGAAATAAGGATCATAATTGAACTTCCTCATTGTAGAAAGCAAAAACAAAGTCTATGCAGCCCTGAACTGTGACAAATATAAGTTTCTAATGACTTTGTCTTTTATTTGTTCTCGTCAGCTATTTCAGGAGCCTAGAATACTGTGTGATTGTAAGTATCACAACCTCTCTGACATAACACTCAACAGGAGAATTTTTTCAAATTTGTTTCAAAAGGTTAACTGAGTTTTATAATAAAAAAGACTAATTATAATTTTATACAAATTATCAAGTCCTAAGATACATTTTCATTAATGGTGTGGGGTGATTTTGTACTCATGCCTCACCTGCCTGATCAATTTCTGCTTCAACTTCTAGCTTCAGGAACACATCCTCCAAGGTTGTCATGGAAACTCCGTATGTAATAACACCCAAATGTGAATGAGTGTCTAGATCAGAAAATAATCCTGACAACGGAAGAAAAAGAATGCGGCTGTTAGAAATTATTATATTGTCTCACCAAAAGTCTCTGATTTAATTAAAAAGCACAGTGTAACCGAAAAGCAGACTTCTATCAGTGTGACATGCTAATGAATAAGTACAATTGGCTAATTATAATGATGTAGGTCATGGCTCTAGAGTTACAGCCTAGATTATTTTTGCACTTAACAAGCAGGCTGAAAAAGAGGCCTTCCAGTATGAAAAACAGCACAGTCCCTTCAAAATTACAGTGCTGACTCTCCAAATAGAGAACAACTTTTTTTGAGGATTTCTATTTCAAAAATAGTTTCTGCAGTTGAATTAAACAGTTTGAAACAACTTTACTAGTCAGTGTGCTCTGGATGATTTTCACTGTTCCACAATAAAAATTACAGAGTGGGGCAACAGGAACGCAGGGCCCGAGCTGGCAGGGGCTCCACGGAGCTAAGCCATGCTGCACCAGCAGGGAGAGGGGGGAGCCAGCCTTGTGTTCCTGCTGCTCTGCTCTGGGCCCCTGCCAGCACTGGCCCTGGCATACCGGCGCAGGCCTCACAATCCTGCCCAGCTAATTGCTGCGTTCCTGCACACTGCCACTTTCCCACTGCCTGCTGCTGCCATTTCACCACTTTCCTGCCACCGCCGCTTCTCTCCCCACCCCTCTACCCACCGCTCTGGCACCATATGGTTCCTAGCTGCAGTGCCAGGACGGCAGGAGCCGCCTGGGCCCTGGGGACTAGGGCAATCACCTGTAGTCCTCCCCTGCCTCCCCCCACCCTTGTTATCTGAATTTCCCTTAGGCAGGGGGAGGCAGGAACAGCCCCCTAGGAAGCGCTGTTCAGCAGGGTCAGCAGGCTCCCACTGGGTGCTACTGCCCCTGGTGCCTTGTCATCTTTGACAGGCAGCCAGGGGCAGATAAATATTAATTTTCTAAATTTTTTAGAGGCCTCACAGGATAGACAGACTGGCCTGGTGGGAGAGATCCAGCCCACAGGCCGTGTTTTGCCCACCCCTGCTCGAGAGGCACTTGAAATGCTTACCTAGCTATGAAATGAGTGACTGACTAGGATAAGAGGCAAACAACTTGCCAGCTAACTTTGGCACTACTGTCACTTTGCACTGCCAAATTATAAACTTCTGAAGTTCTATAAGAAAAATAACAGACTTGTCTGAAAATAGTGTGGGTTACAAACAATTCAGTGGATTTTTCCCCGTACTTGCTCAGCACTGAATTGCGGTAATGGTCATACCTGAGAACTTGTCCATGTCTCTAAAAGGTAAGGCATACACCAGTTGCTCTTCGTTATGTTGCATCAGACTGGCTCCAGGTATATGCTGTCTGATCAAGGAGGTGGTAGCTTCTGTATTACAATAGGCATCTATATGCATGCTAGAAAACACACATGAATACACATAGGAGTACTATTTTAAATTCTTTTTCTTCACTATTTTTAGAAATTGTGGTCAGCAAAGAAAAACAAAGCACAGCAAGAGCAGAACTTCATTGTCCCAAACAGGAAACAAATCTTTTAACATCTAGCAGGGATATTTCAAAGCGTAATTCCTTGCCTAGCAGGGAAGACAAAACAACTATAAAAGATGATGCACTAAAAGTGTCCAATACATACCTCAACCGGTACCCGATACCCCACTTGCTTTTAAGAAAGAGAGACGAGCCTAGGCATTTCAACATCCCTTGAGAAATCACAGCTTTTCGATCTAGAAACAAAACACAAGGAACTTTTAATTGAAGAACCCTACTTCTACACCTAAAACAGCTGCATGATTTAAACACAGAAAATGCAGCATTCCTTGAACATCAGAAGAAACACAATGTCCCTTTATATATAGTACAACTCCCATTCACTTTACATCACCCCAAACACAATAAGGCAATACCAAAGCTTACCAGCAAGAATATCAGCCTCATCCATGAAGTGTGTACTGAATACTGTTACGTGATTAGCCTTTCGATTTTTCAGGAGATTCCAAACTACATGCCGTGAACATGGGTCCATGCCAGCAGTTGGTTCATCCAAGAGTAAAACCTACCACGATTAGTAATAAAAAAAAGGGATCAAACTCCAAATTCTCCACCCTCACAGCTATGATAGCTATAGCAAGAAGCCTATTAATTCCAAGACCGTTATGTCAACCTGGGGGGCAGAGAGGAGGGGAAGGGGTGTTTTTAATATACATTAAAATCTCTTGTATCCAGTACGTCACCAACCGGAATACTCTATTAACCGGAGTTTCCAGCTGCTGGCTGGATGTAGGGCAGGGGAGCACAGAAAGCTTACATGTGGCGGCAGTGGCCGCCACCACCCACCACCCTGCATTGCTGCCGCTCTGCATACAGCCACCAGCACTGCCTGCTCTGCTGGCCAGGCGCGGGGTTGGAGGGGGCGAGGGAAAGCTTGAACATGGCGGGTGCTGCCGCCACCCACCACCCTGCATAGTTGCTGCTCCATGTGTGGAAGCTGCTGCCACCTACCCCCTGCATTATATGAAAACCCTGCCGGGTTATTTCAGATAACTGGAGTTTTTACATAACCGGCAAACCCCTTACCCCAGGGATGCTGGATAACAGAGATTTTATTGTACTGTTTATTTGTCTAAAGGTAGTGTGGGAATCATTTTTGTTTTAGTCAACTAATTGCAAAGCTAAATAGCGTGCCAATCACCACTACCTACGTGCCTGTTCCTTTTGACAACTTCTCTTGTGATGTTACCCAAAATCATACAATACTCCACTCGAGATGCAGCCTACTTTTTGCACTGACTTATCGCACACAAAAAAAAGTATGATCTAATCTACTGTTACTGCTACTGAATCAACCACCCTTCAATCCCTGCAGTGTTAAGGTTGAGCCTGGAAATTTTAAATGGCTTTAAACCAGAGATGGCTGGAAACAGCAGACCAGTTTCACACAGTAACTATTTTGTACCTACTTATTTGGTACTTCATAGTTTAATCACCAAATAATATGAACAATTGGATAGAACATGCACTCAGATAACATGCAGCTAGGAGTAACATAGACACTGGGCTTGTGCCTCCTCACCTTGGGATTCCCAAGAACAGCAATGCCTATAGATAGTTTTCTTTTCTGCCCTCCACTTAATTTTTTAGCTTGGTTGTCCTTGATAGGCTGCATATCCAAATCTAACAGTACTTTCTGCACCTTTAAAAATAAAACAAGAGTTCTATGTAAATGAAACCCACAAAAGACATGAAAAATTGACTGCCATAATTATCAACAACTTTGTATTAATTTTCAACAAATTGCAATATATGTTTTTAATTAGTATTCTATGTCTGGATCCTGATGTAAATTCACCATAGGCAATGCAAGGCCCATTAGAGAATCAAAGTCTTAAACTTTAAACTAGGAAGGCCAATCACATTGTACCCTTAAGTATAAGCCTCTGAACATGTTAACGTTTATGTTCTGTGAATGTTCTACTCATAAAATATTTTTGGTAAGTGAGATTTGCAAAGCTACTTTCATAACATAAAACTATTTTGCCCTGCGAAATTAAAAATAAATGCACTCTGCACATGATTTATAACTGTCTGATTTACCTCTTGTATCAAATCATTGGGAGGTATCCCTTTTATTGAAGCAAATATAGATAAATTTTCTTCCACTGTTAAAATGTCAAAATGTATATCTAATTGTGGGCAAACACCAGTAATCTTTCTCACTTCCAGCATTTCATCAATTTCAGAGACTCTGTATCCATAGACAGATGCAAACCCTGAAAGAACAAAAGGAAAAAAACCAAAAACTTTTCAACCCAACTAGAACTCTGACCTTCACCATAAAGTAGCTAACTCAATTGTTCCAAAACAGAGATGCTCATTAAAAAAAATTAAAAAGTAACCCCCCTCAGATGAAAACCTCAATAAAAAATGATTGAATCCTGCAATATGCTCAAAGAGAAATGGCCTGAGGTTTGAGGGCAGGAAAAACAAATGAGACCATTAAACAGATTATAACAAATCCATTCTGTCCCCCTCACCACCAAGCCCAAGATTTCTCACCATCAGAAGGTGGACAAAGCCCACAAAGAATGTTCATCAGTGTTGTTTTTCCTGTTCCACTATGTCCAAGTAATGCTGTAATCTGACCCTCATATATATCAAATGATAGACCTAATCCAAAGAAGAAAAAGAACAAGGAGACAAAGAGAAATTAATGTTGTAGATCTAGAGACAGATTTATATCAGTGTGCTAAATTCAAATACTGATATATAGGATATGTGTTTACATTATATTCAAAGCAGTATTTTTTTGCCTTCAGGTTTCAGTTCACAATGGTAAACGTTATGGCAGTAGTAAATAAAGAGCTGGCATTAGATTTCCTATGAGGAGACTTAAATTTAGAGGTTTTCATGTCATTCTCTTAAGGAATCTGGAAAGAGGGTGCTCTGTGGTTACTTGCTGTAGTTTGGAACCAAGAAAGGATACTGTGAACATGCAGGGGAAAAACAAAACCCCACAATGCAGAGGATCAAATAACTACAGCTGCCATTAGGCTCTGCCTTATTGAGGCAACAGCCCCTGTGGCATATAACTAAAGGCAGACTAAGGTAGGAGGAAAACGCACGTAATAAGGCATAGGGCTTTATGCTCTGAGACCCACCCCTCTGGCAAAAGGGAAAAAAAAAAGGTCCCTACATTGTTATTTTTCCTTGCACTTCTATTAAGTAGCTGAAAAGCTAGAAACTTTCTTACTTCTGAGAGCCTCCACAGTTTCATCTTTTTTTCTGAAAGTTTTCTGAATGGAGTTGATTCTGAAAGAAGACATGTAATCATACAAAAAGAATAAAAAGCCTTAAAAATCTTTCCTCGCAAAAGAAAATATCACATTGCAATGATTATACAGGCAGCAAGACTGTGCTGAAGTCATGTGTTTTTCTGCTGAAGTTGCACAAAAATTTTCTGAAGGCAGAGCTGTAGGCAAGCAGAGTGTAGGCATTTTTTGGCAACATTTCTTGGAACAGTTTTCATCTTATTGCCTCTTTACTCTGGCAAGAGGGAGAATATTTCTGTTGATTTACTGAACATTTTCTGTCAGGACGGCTGAGTAATCACTATGACACACAGTATTACTTTTTTCCCATAACACCAATACACTAATCCAGGAATCAGCAACCTATGGCCCATGGGCTAGATCTGGCCCAGTGAACCATGGAGCTCAGGGCTGGAGGGCTTTGCCCAGGTGGCAGAGAGAAGTGGCAGTGGTGGCACTGTGGAGGAAGTGGTGATAGAGGCTTTAGTTGCATTGGAAATGCAGACCAGGTTGAAAGCAGCCCACACTGGGACTTAAGCTCTGTTAAATCAGTGTCCCCTTCCCCTCCAACAACTTAAAAAACACTGCTAACTCCAATACTAATCAGTTAACACAAGGGTTGTCAACTGGGGGTACGTGTACCCCTGGGGGTACCTGAACTGGTCCTAGGAGGTATGCATGGGGGGGCAGGGGGCAGAGCGCAGCTGCCTCCCAGGAGCAGGACCTGGGGAAGGCAAGGGCAGCAGTACCCCTCTGCAGGGTGGGGAAGTTCACACATGGTGGCCACCACTGCCACACACCAGCCTGGTGAGCTTCTCTGCCCTGCAGAAGGGCGCTACTGCCCCCACCCCAGCCCAGCGAGCTTCCCCACTCTGCCCCAGCCCTGCTCCTTGGAGGCAGTGGTGCTCTACCCTGGGCTGTCCCAGCCTCTTGCTCCGTGGCCAGTTGCATGCTACCCATCCCACCCCCCCATTTGGCATTCGGCCGCACGCTACCCCCTCTACTCCCCTTGGTGTTGGGCTGCTGGGGGGTAGTTAGACAAAAAAAGGTTGAAAACCCCTGAGTCAACGTATTGAAAAATGTTCAGTCTATGCACGAATCCACACAATCTGACAGATGGACACAGGATAGGGAGAAGACATGCAATGCAAGACAAGCAGGCAAGGAGATGCTTTTTCTTGCTAAAATAACATTAAATGAATGTGGGCATCTACTCCCTACTCCCCAAGCAAGATTTTATTATGTACAATTTGATCCAATGACTCCTCAAATTAATGAAAATAAGGAATTTACTAGATGGCAACCTTACAATGAGGTTAAGTGCATTCTTATCTAGAGAGCAGAGCAGGGTTTGGATGGGATAGCAGGGGAGGGGAGCAAAGAACTGAGTGAGGAGGACAAACTCATTGGGAGAGGGGATGGTAAAATGGGAGGATGGGAGACTAGCATGACCAATGAAGAATAATCAGTAGAATGAGACAAAGGGGTTGGAATGTTTCAAGAATTTTATGTGAATTTCTGAGAAGCTTCTGGGGAAAAAAGCTAAACGCTTCAGCTAGTACTGAGTCTATTCAAACAGACCTTAAAAATTGATTCAGAATTCTGGCCATTAAGCTCCCTAAGTTTTATTTGAGACTAGGGGAGTCATGCAGGAAAAAATAAATAGTTATTATTTCTCAATTCACATCATGACATTCTAACAGACAATACCAAAATTAGCAGAGAATTAAGAGCTCACATGGAGAATCTTGCTTTGTTTAAATAGCGCTGATAGTACATGAAGGTATGGAGAAGCACTGATGTAAGAGAATGAACAGCATATTGACTAAGTAAGCTCAAAAAGTTACTAGAATCAACTGTTTTGTATGTTATCTAGTTAGTGAGTCAAGCAGCTCCCCCGTGTGGTTTAGATGGAACATACAACTCTTCACACACAAAATAATGGGAGTTACACATCTGAATCTAATTTGAAAGGATTAAGAAAAACCCTTTCCCCTCCCTTTCCACCCCTGAAACAATTATACCTCTTGTGGCATTAGTGAAGCTCAAGAACATAGATTGCCTCCTGTGCCCAGCTAAATCAAGACTATGTTTCAGAGTTTGAGTTGATGGCCATAATTTACATAAACGTTTTCCTGAGCACACTTTTGTTATCCTGGAGAACATCCACGTAACAGGTAATATGGCCTCATTGGAAATGGAAAACTGCTATTTTAAAGATGTAAAATAAGACACACAATGCATACGATGTGCTCTCTTGATTCAAATAGCATGAATTTAGGAGAGATGCTAAAATGAATCTGTGGCATGAACTCATACCTGATAGCTTCTTTTCCCTGAAATTCAGGAGATATCGGTTCAACTATCTCACTGAAATTTAGACTTCCATTAATAGTACTCTCATATAACTCCTTGTAATTTCTTCTACGCTTTGACCAAAATGAGGGTTTCATAAAGAATAGTGATGTCCGCCGCAATCCAAACTCGCCTGAGTAAGAAAAGAAAAAGAAAAGTCTCTGGAAAATTAATGCAGACATGATTCAGGATCTGGAGTTCATCTATGAAAACTGGGATTAAGCACATTACTAGGAGCTCAAATCAGGAGAGCATCTCTATTTCAGTCGCACATATACTGTGCATTTAAAACAACACTGCCAAACCCCAAAACTCTACTTTTGGAAAGTATTTAACTATTCAAATCTACCCCTATTCATCAAAGCACTTCCTTATGCATGTAGTTAAATACATTTCCTAGACAGAGGCAGGTTTATGAATGTGCTTAAATACTTGCAAGAACTGGGACCTAGGACTATGGGACTGATGGCTTAAGTAAACAATGCACAGCAACACAGAGGTTCAGCAGCAAAGAAAGTGCAAATTCTCACATGCATGCAAGTCGGTGGTTTGTTCAAAGGTTAACAAATAGAGTCTTTGTTGTGTCACTACTCTTAAAACTCAGTAATTTAAACAAAATATCTGGCATTCAGTTTTCAACCCAAGAAGAATGAATTGCAAAAGCTGAAAACATGGGTTGGTTAGCAAAAGATCAAAGTTACTCTGGCATAAAACATTTTCCAAGTATTTTCATTGGCACAACTATGCAGACTACGTATCAAGCAGGTACTTTTTTCATGACTGCTTCACAAGCAGATTTCACAACTGTAGAAAATATTTAAATTAAAATATATATATATATTTTAAAGCTCTTTACAGATAACAGCTGTGTTTCTGCCTATTTTCTTTTGATCCAAAGTTACCTTGACATGTAGCTGCAATTAAAGAAGCCAAAGAACACAGGAAATGGTGATACTGAATTGACCACTCAGTTATTTAAATACAGTATCTCAGTGGCATTTATTAAATAGCTTGTTTGTAAAACAGCCATGCAATTAAACCTGACTTAGAGCAAAACTGTGCACTAAAGACTTCTAAAATTTGGGAGCTGATTGTGGTTCAGTTCCATATTTATTTGAGTCTAAGTAACATACCTGGAATGACCTGATCAAGGTAGACAGCAAGAAGCACGTAAAGCATGCTGTCCAGTACCAGTAAAATGAGAGAAATAACTAGTGGATAAGGACCATGAGTTAGTTTTGAAAACAGTGCACCACTGTCATAATCTTCCAGATGCATAACCTAGAAACAAACATGAAACAACTTGGGTGTTACTGAATTGCATCTTCATCAGCCTACAGTTAAATGAAACACAACGGCATGATACAAAAATGATCTACTACAAATGATAAATTAAAAACTGAAAGGTGAGTGTTGCTGTAGAGCAGATACAAAGATGTCATAATGCTGTTGAAAAAAAAAAGAAAAGCAAGACACGACACACAATATTTTACTTCAGATATTTAAAGCTTTTTTGCCATAACACACTTCTTTTTAAATAATTCCTTGTGACTAAGAAAAAAATATTATTAAAAAAAGCAAGATTTATAGAAAAATATTTACAGATATTTTCACCACCAGGTATTTGAATCTGAGATAAATTAAATGTTTGCTATGTAGCCGTAACCTGAGAAGTACAAACTGTATCTTAATAAAAAAGAATGATGGCACTAGCCAGTACCATTCCCTACCCTGCACAGACTTCTTACATGACTGTGACTTATTACTGCACCTTAGTTCCTCCTCTGTATGACAGGGACAACAGTACTTTCTGACTTGAGAGTACTATTACATGAATAAAAGTGTTTGTAGATTGTGAGGAGCTTCACTGCTAAGGTGATAAGGGGCATGCAAACCTAATCAATAAATTAGGTTGGACGGATCTTGTTATATATCAAATTGCTGTTCAGCTGTTCTTGCACACAACAAAAGTAGTAAATAAACAGGGATACAGTAAGCTTACTCACCTGGGCAATGCCAATCAGGAATGTACACTGACAGAATGGGCTCACAACCCATACAAAAGCCTTTGGAAAATCCTCCAATAATACAATGTTAAGACCCACAAAACCTAAAGCCAGTGTTGCTAAGAATTCAACGATACCCACATGTTTTGATTTTCTAAAAAGGGGAGTCAGCATAAAAGCAAAGAACACCTACAGAAATACAAAGAGGAAATTATTACAGTGTACAACAGACCTGGAATAGAAATAAAGCAACTACAGCTTTACTTTCAGTAGGTAAGTAACTTTTCTTTTGGGGCAAAATAAGGTGAGTGCTTTGCCAAGACTGCTAATTCAAACTAATGCCTCTTAAAAATAGCTTTAAAAAATACAAATCAATATCCCAATCTAGATCGTGGAATAGAATGAAGAATGGAACCACTAAAAATAAGACAGGGAAGCCTACTGGACATGTCTGCATATTAGGCCTGTGAGAAGCAGCAAGTATTCAAATCAGATTCGGATGATTTGGAGGGAGAGTGATTCAATCCTCACTCTGGGATTCGAGTCACTGTCCCGATTCAATTTGGCAGAACAGGATTTGAAGATTCGGTGCCAATTCGGAGATTCGGCCATAGACTAAATAGGCAGCAGTCCTCAACTACACTGGACACAGCTGCCTTCAGCTGGTAAGTCTGTTGTGGTAGGCGGAGAGAGGAAGGAAGGGGCATGGGGAGGGTGGGCAGATCAACTGTCTGTTTACTCTATGGCCAAATCTCCAGATTGGTGCTGAATTTTTCCGAATCGATTCGGAGGCTTCCAATTCGATTCAGACCTTTTAATGAGTCTCACAATTTGATTTGGATTTGGAGATTCAGCCGTCGAATTGGGCCAAATCTCCTCCAAATCTCTAAATCAAATCAGCTACTGAAGCTTTGCAAGGCCCTACTGCATATCACAGTGAGAAAAAAAAGTTTCAGCTTCAACTTGCAACAGCAAAATATCTTTCTAGCCATCTTTCTTTTTTTTTTGTAAACATTAAATTACTTGCATAGGTTCAGAGAAAGATCAGTCAGAATCTGCAAACTTTAGTCATAATATTATTGACTGCTCTGGAAAGTTAAAGAAATGTCACCTAATATTTTCCATAGATGATTTTACCACTCCACAAATTTAGAAGGAAGACACAGTATGGAAGGTAGCATCAGCATGAGGCTGGATTTCATGTTCGTTGCGATTTGGACCAGCAAAATACCAAATTAAATGGCTTTAATCTAGCAAACCTCACAATCACATGCTTAACTATAAGTGCATGAGCAGTCCTACCAATATCAGTGGAACTATTTTCTTCTTAAAATTAAGCATGCCTTACTCAGCTGAGATTTGAGTGCTACAAATCTGGGAATACTGAGCTCTATATGAAGCAGCAGACTAAGGCAGGGGCAGGCAATTATTTTGGGCAGAGGGCCGCTTCCCTAACTGTGGCAGGCTGTCGAGGGCCGCATAGGTAGCCCCGTCCCTTGACAGGTGCCCTGCCCCCTGGTCACTATCTTGAGACCAATGTCCCAATGTCTTTGGTCCCAAAACATTGGGACACTGGTCCCATGTCCCAGGGCCAGCACCAGTAGGGCCCAAAGCAGGACACAGGCTGGCAGGGGTCTGTGGAGCCAGGCTGGGCTGCACCAGCAGGGAGAAGGGGAGCTGACCCAGCTCCATAGAGCCCCTGCTGGCTGGGATCCCACACTCCTGCCACCCTGCTCTGGTCCCTGCCGGCACTGGCCCTGGCCCTGGGACACCAGTGTGGGCCCTGTGCTCCCACTGGCTCCCCGCCCACTCACTCCCAGTGCTCCCCACCCTGCGGTACCAGTGGGGGGCAGTGCACAGCCCCAACCCCCTGCTCACCGGCAGGGAAGAAGCTGGTGCTGAGTGCGGGAAAAAAAGTGGCCCCTCGTCTGCCCTGTGGTCGGCGCTCACAGCCCATGTGGGGCTGTCCTGAGCATGAACAGGCAGCCCCATGCAGGCTGGAAGCAGCTGCAGCTCCAGGCTTGCCCCTAGGGGCTGCACGCAGCGGCAGCAGCTGTGGCCCCCCCGCATGCTGCACTGGGCAGTGTTGGCTGCTGCTCCCGCTCCAGACAGCCCTGTGCGGGCTGCGAGCAGCTATAGCACGGAGCACCGGCCACGGGGCGGGGAAGGGCCACTTTCCTCTGCGCCAGGAAGGAGCAGGGAAGGAGCCCAGGGAAAAGCTCAGCGTGGGGGGAGAAAAACAGCCCCTCCCCCCACCGTGGCCGGTGCTCCCTGCTGCAGCTGCTTGCAGCCCGCATGGGGCTGCCCAGAGCATTTTTGACAGGGACCAAGGGCAGAGAAATATTAATTTTCTAAATTTTTTAGGGGCCCCGTGGGCCAGACAGAATGGCCTATGGGCTGTATTTTGCCCACCCCTGCTCTAAGCAAATAAGAAGTCTTTAAAACATGACAAGGTACTTGATTTAAAAAAAAAGTAAGAAACAAAAGATACTGAATCTGTAGCATTTCCTACTCAAAGTGTAAAAAATAGAGTGAGCAGCTCTGTAAACACAGGTATCATGTGAAGGTAATGTTTGGGCTTCAGTGTATGTGACACTGAGAAGCTCCAGAATAACGGCAGGTAAGAAAACGGAATGATTTAGTAAGGCATCCAGTTATCATACTGACTAGAGAAAATTAGCTTATTTATCCACATACCAAACTCATGTTATTCCTCCAAAATCAGGGACTGAAAATTGGGGTGCGCTTCTTAAGGAAACTAATTCTGAACAGTTTGGTTAAAAGAAAAAATATGTTTTCTTCATTTTGCCTTTCCAAAACCAGGTGCATGTTTTAATTAGGGGTGTGCAGTATGTGAATAAATGCAGGACACTGGAAGCACACTGTCCTGAATGGGAAAGAACATGGGGTGAAAAAGTGGTAGTCATGTGCTGGAGAACTTGACTGCAATGCATCAATAGCAACACACACACACACACACTTACTGAGGATATTCCATAGAGGAAAAACAGAAGAAATATCACAAAGGAACTACTCAGGGGAAATAGTGAAGAGGCTGTTGCAATGACTGCCATAAGAATGGACATGACAAAAATCAAGGTTGTGTATAACAGAACCCAGGAAAGCCTAGAAAAAAGGGGGAAAAAAACCCAATGAAGATTCACAGACCAAATCATTAATAGATACAACAACAACAACAACAACAACAACGTTAGCTAAATTATTATACTAGTCCAGAAAGCTGTACAAAAGGACAGGCATGGAATAAGCCAGAGCCCAAGCTGAAAGAAGTTCTTTTAAGTACAAATATTATTCTGAGCACCACTATTTTTACTTTAATACCAACTGTAGTGAGTAGGAAAAACAACTGCTATGAATCATCTACATTTTCTAATTGGCTTAATAAATTCCCTAGTAGCTGAACTGAAACAAGGTAAGTGAGAAGTATTTTTCAATAATTAAAGTAATTCTATTTAAAATTTAATACACTTGTCGGTCCAGAACTCGGGTAAGGTAACAAAATACTCTTCTGTACAAGAAAAAAAAGAGGTTAAAAAGTCAGGGAGCACTTTCCTTCAAAAAGAACAGATGCAGCCTGTGGATCTGTAATGTTTTACTTTGCTAATGACTCCACAGATTAGGTCTTTTACAATGCTTTACATTTTCAAAACATTGCATTAGACCTTCTCTAAGGCATATTATATTCATTTTAAGAATGAGCAGGGAGAGAAAATAAATAATGATGAAGGGCTTGCATCACAAAATGCCTGCAGCTAGGAGTCCCCATAGAGGTCATTCACTTAGTATCTGATGAAGTAGACTGTTGCTTACAAAAACTCCTGTCTCTCATGAACCATTCAGCCCAAAGTCAGGCAGAAGGAGGAACAAGGTGGCACCTTAGGGACTATCATGGCTAATCACCTCTCCACTGAAGCCCTTGTAATGACTCAGCCGGGGAAAAAGGACCATACTTGGTTTTACCTGAATAAGACCCTATGACAATGACCATTATTACTAAACACGCAAAACTAAGCCCCAAGTCATTTGTATCTGTATGTCCATTGCTGCAGTCCAATTAGCACAGCTGCAAACATGAACAATTCAGAACTGCAGTACATAATACCTATCAGCACAGAGAATGCAGTTTAAAAACTAAACATATGGATCCCTGTTTTTTCAGTTTTATCACAATCATGTACTCCTAGTCTTTGGGTTGGATGAATACGGCTGATGAACTCTGAAAAAGAGATCACGTGTCCCACTAATATAAAGAGAAGTGTTACAAAGCAGAATAATATGTCATATGCATAATGCAGCACTTAACTTACTCCCATCAAATCTGAAGTTTATTTTGAGAAATATTTTTATTAAACTAGAAGCATTATAGTAGTATAATATGGCATGTTTTAAATGAAATATTATTATTGTAATTACTTTACAAAGGGGATTGACAAATGATGAAATTAAAGTAGAACAGAGCATGGGGACTTAATGAGGAGTCTATGATGCATGGTAACTACATATGCCTGCAATTACTTTTAATAAGTGACAGCTAATATGAAGCATTTTACCTCTGAATTTAGAGAGTTAAAATGTCCGTGTTAACTTGCTTCAATTCGATAATTTGCCTGCACCTACCCAGCGCCAGATTACTATTATATTATAAATATCTATCTTAAAAAGATTTAACAGTATCATCAGAAATAAACCAAATCAAAGCAGAGCTTACTATAAATCACTATGACATAACATTTACTGTATTTTTTAGAAAAAGAAAAAAGTTATACTCACATACCAAAAGGCAGTGTCATGAAGTCCCAGTATTTTTAAAAATTCCTTCAGCTTCCTCTCCTTTTCTGCCACGATGTGAATTGCCAAATAGTACCCGAAGGGAGAAAAGGCTATTACTAGGTAAATTAAAATGATTGCACGGGGAAAGTGGTCTATTTCCATAACTGCAGCCTCTCCCATAACAACAGCTTTTGTTAATTCCAGTTGTTCCCTGACTGAATGATTAGTCTTCAGCTAAGAAAACGTAAAGAAGACTTTAATTGGTTTTGCACTGAAAAAAAATGTATTTTTAATATACTAATGTAAGCTCTACAGTAAAGTTAATGACTGGAAAAATGTGATGAATAGGCCCACATGCTTTGAAAGAGACATGTCCTTATTTTCCCCCAAGTCACAGAATATCAGAATCCAAAAAATGGGGGGAGAGGGAGTGACATCCTACGGGAAGATGGAGACAGCAAGTAAACAAAATGCAGCGATGCCCTCTTCCTACAAAAATGAGAATTACCATACCAGGAAGCAAGAAGGAATTGGTGAAAAAAGGGCCCATAACAAATACCTAGGAACAAAGCAACGGAGTAAATCCTACTGCAGTAGAAAGCTTTTAGGTTACATAATCATTAACTTCAGCTCAGTAGGCAAAAGCTCTCACACTGCCAGATGTAGTCCAGTGTATTAATTTCTTTTATGGGAAGCAGATGTCCCAAAGGTTTGTTTCCTGTTTCTGCTAGTTCACAGGATGACAAAGCACTCATAGTGAGAAATGGCTCACCTGACGGGCTATTCACAGTGCAAACCAGAGGCAATATTCCAGCTAACATAAACACACATTTGGGCTAGTTGCAAGCTAATTAGTTCACACATGGACAGCAGTACAGCTATGGCATCATGAGCTGGACCAGGCTTTCTGGAACTCCAGGTAAAAGCTTGGTGGCTGAAATGTGGGCTGCCACATCGACACTGCTATTGGACCTGAGCAGCGATCACATGCCTGGACTGCAACATAAATGTGCTCTCCACCTTACAGAAAGGCTAAAATCTCATCTTGTGGCCAATGCTGCATGTTCCTCCGTGAGAAATTCTAGAAAATGTTTTGTTTTTTTTTAAATCACTGCAGTCCTCAGTGATAAAACTAAGTTTTCAGCCAAGCAGTTTGCCAATATCAAGAAAGGCAGATACTGCCCTAGTGGTATTTTTACAGTACCCACTATATATATGTACAGTGAGTACTGAAAAGCAACCAAAAGTATTCCAATGGGATGAGTAATACTGCTTTTTAGAATCTCCAGGGGTAATTCTTGTTCTGAAAGGGTAGTATTTCATAAATACATATTCCCAGGTGTTCATGCCCTGAGGGCTTGCTGCAGTTTTCTAGGCATCGAGCTGTAGCTTAATAAAGGTATGCAGCTTACTCTGAAGTTTAAACACAGGGATCCAACACCAGTAATGGTTTTATTTCACATAAATGTAGCCTGTGTTAGCTGGATAAATGCTATCGAAAAAGACTACATCTAAACCAAATAGTTACATTATTTCTGGAGCAGAAATGCATGTTGTGGAATCAAGAACATCCCTGATTTCTTGCTAGCCAAAACTTCTAGTGCATTTATGCTTTCCATTCTCTGCCTTTACAAATATATCAGATGGGGACACTTGTCTTCCCAGCAACAAGCAGGACATTAAAATGTTCTCTCTTGTTACGACCAAGCATGTTCAAACGAATGAATTCTAAATTGCAATAAACACTAACATTAACTTAGTCAAAAAATTAAAGGATCAAATTTTATAACAGTTTATTTATGGGACAGAATACTCTGATATAATGGGAAAGAAAGATTTTAACTTGCTACAGTACATCAAACACCATTTTGCAGCCAACTGTTGGTGAGTGTAAATATTTTAATGACAGCCAGCATATACACATAACACTCATTTAGACATAAAAGGATTTACAAGCATGACTGCAATTCAGTTAGGTGAGGAGACTGGTTTGTGTTAATAAAAGACAAGATGTCTGATGCAAACCAATTTTAGTACACTTTATCTGTTAACAACACAAAACGTTATTACAGACGAAATTCAAAGGATATTAACCTCTTTATTTCATTATGCTACTTATTTATATTTACCTGAATAATTGCAGCATCAATGCAAGCTTGTAGAGCTGCAAATCCTGAACGCCAATATTCAACCGATTCACATCCGTTCAATGAACTGGAACAACTGGCTATAGAAAAATCAAAGACATTTTTAAAGCACATACCTGGAGTTGCTTTCTTTTTTTTTTTTAATAACAATGTACAAACACTAATGATTGAAACAACTGCTTATTAATAATGATAGAAAAACTTCAGTAAAGCCAAAAAGCATATACAAAGTAATCTCATTTGCAACACTGCACTCAAAAGGTACTTTCCAAAGTAATCAGAAAGCTGGAACAGAAGTTAAGATGCTAGAAAGTCTATAGCAGCTCTGTAAAAAAGATAATGGGATATGATGATGAGCCACAGGCTAATCCCTCAGCCTCTCTGAGCAATGCAGGCCGGAAAAAAATTGAAAACAACTATTCCATAGTATGGATTGGAAAGCCTGCAGTATTATTTTAATGAAAGAACAAATCACTTTGAAATATATGCAAGTATGACAAGGATTCCAAGCCACAGAATGCTAGATGATCTGCATATGGACACAGAAAGACAAGGAAATGAAATAGTGAGAAGTGAATTCCACAATATTTTCATGACAGATTATTAATTTATGAAAAACTTATTGACATACCAACTGACACACATATACGAAGTCCAGATTTATCATTTCTCTGGTGAGGTTAAAGACAAGAGAAAAAGGAGGGACAAGGTGTATCTATCTTCCAAGTGACACCTACTTCTGTTGAAGAAGCTAACTTTTAGCTCAAATGCTGAGGAGGCTGCCAGCTCTTCTTACATTTCACCTGCATTGTATTTTTCAGTTTCCCAGGAAGTAGACCTCTGCATGAATTGTTGGTCTTACTGAAGGCAATGTAAACAGTCTCATAGGCTTAATAGACAAGTTCTTCCCCCTCATCTTTTCTACACTTGTGAAGAGCTTCATAACAAATGTGCTCTATGATGCCATCAGGTTATTACCAACACAGAAAGAAGATTATCTATTGCCTTAGTCTTCCCTAGCACCATTCATAAATACAGGGGAAAAAACCTACACTTTTTTGTGGAAGGTCCTGGTCTAAACTCCAGTCCAGCACACCACCCCAAAGAGATTTTCTTGCTTTCATACTGTTTCATTGACACTATCACCATCATTGATAATGCCGTCAGGTGTTGTCACATCACACATGAGGTGGCAAAACTTTTATTTAGCGTCACACGAAAACTAGGTCAAAGCTTCCTAGTTCAAGTCCTTAAAAACAATTAGCACGTGTATTTTACCTCTTGATTCCATGTAAATGGAAGACATCGTGACAGCATTAGGAAATCTAAGCTGGTAGGACATGGAATCTTTGAAAACTATGCCCACAAAGTTTGATGATTTAAACATGCTAGCATCTTGTAATTCTTCTTCACTTAAATATTCTTCTGTAATTATGCCTGAAAAATAGAATATGAATAGCTGTGGGAATTAACTGGGACAGTGAAATGAAACCAAGAGTGTTTCAGCAGCTCTATGTTCTTAGTAAATGCTATATTATTATATTGATTCCATTATTGTGCTACTAATTTCCATGGAGATGACAGTAAGTCACAGCATTTGATGAACTGTTTAAGGAAGACGACACGTAATAATGGAACATGAAATCTTGCAGTTACACAGAAGGGTTTATTGTTGCCACATATCACTAAATCATAGACTGCATTAGGCAGAAGATGAATCAGCAAAATGGGATACTCAAAGAAAATAGTGTTTCTTATAGTACATCTGATTCTTTTTCCTGTGGCAGTCATACATGAGTTTGTACCGAAACATCACCCCAGCAAAAAATATATTCAAAGTGTTTTTTTTTTTAATGACAGGAGAAGGGAATGGATGTCACTGCTAGTAGCACAGCTGTGTCAGCAGCATAACAGCAGCACAACTGATGGTTTTGTTTTTTTTTAAACAAATCATGTTCAAAACCAAGCACATGATACAGTGCTCACCAATACCATCACTGCTACTCAAGTCACTACTTCTGTAGTAGCAACTAGGCTCCAAGACTGAAAGCCCCAACTAAAAATAGCTGTAAACTGAAACCATCTTCTTGCACTGACCACAGGACGGCAAGTAGAATAGCAGTCACTACATCTATTGACTACTGCGGGGTGACAATCTTTTTTAGTCTGCTGAGGCCTGATTCTAAAACTTTCTTTCAAATAGGCAATACTTTATTTCAGTGTGACAACTTGTGTGAGAAAGGGTAACTTATTTAGGAAAGGGCTACAGCATGTTACTAGGAAAGGGAAGCTCCTTTAAGATATCCAGGAAGGGATTTTCCTGTTCCTTATCTATTCTGTTCACTCTATGGACCTGCTGAGGACAAGTTTCATCAGTCACACAAGTGTAACAATCCTGCAGTTCCCAACACAATACTACACAAACAAGGATGTGAGATGAACCTGGAAGAACAAAAATATGTAGGTTTATAATACCTACCATCTGCGAAGAAATCAGAATCCACTTTCTGCATGATCCTTCTTGTCATATTGGTCACTGGGGTATATCCAAGAATGAAATCGACAAGCATGGAAGTGTCTAGAGAACCAAGATCTGTGTCAGGCACCGCACCATATTTTCTATTAGGATGCATCATGCTCATTAATATTAGCCAAAATAAAAAGAATAGTGGAAACAGGATTTCCTGTACGAAAGATAACAAGACAATGATATGAGACAATTAAGAAGAACAATAACAGGAACTCACACCAAAACCTGATTTATAATTTTATTTAAATTTATAATTCAATTGCAAAGCTTTTTGAATGTTCTTTGTTTTACCAATGATGGTTTTTCAATTATAGTGGCTTCTGTAGCACTAGAGCATGATTTTGCTAACCTGAACACAACAGAAGTTGAGATACAAGTGAACAATCCTAACTGCTGGGAACTTATAAACCAAACATCAGTGTACCATTATGCTGTAGCCAGCAAGACTGGATGCAGCTGAAGGCAGAACTGGTTTTTCAAATTATTTCCTACATACAACATTTTAAATGTGTGAATGCACATATGTATTTAGGTGTGTATGCGCACGTGCACAAGTGTAGAAGTTTGGATCTAGTGTTCTAGTTATATTTTGGTCCTCATACCAAGGTTATGCATATGGATACACAAAGTCATGTCATTATCAGACAGAAGATTATAGCTGTGTTTCTGGATTCTAATTCGTCCGTTCACATCCTGTGCAAAACTGAATAAGTCACTACCTTGTCTGCAACTATAGTCCCATTAGCAACCCCCACCATCCACACCTGCATATTAGATGGCTTCATTAATTTTTTAATACAGTACTTCAACTTTCTAGGATGAACGATGCAACACTTGCCCAAAGTATTATGCTATCCTCAAGGTATATCTTTGATTGTTCAAACTGTGCTTAAAAGTACTCCTGGCAAGCAGTTCTATTAAGCTAAATATCCGTATCACTTAATTATTCTTGGTATACAGAATACAAAGCCAAGTTTAGAACAGTCACTTGTGTCTATGTAAATGTGCACAACAATAAATAGTGTTACTTAATCCTGATTTGTTAGTCTGGGGTACTCAAACTTCAGCTGGCCCATGGGGCCCTGTCATTTGGCCCACAGGGTTTCCCTCAGGTCTGGAAATTTTGCAGGACAGGATGGTGGCAATTAACACTGCCATCACTCCTCTGTTGCCAAATTTCCAAGCCCTGAGGGCCAGAGAACATGGTCCTGTGCATGATCCAATCCTAGGCACAGAGCCGGGGCCACACACCAGGTTAGCACCGCTGACCCTCAAATTGATCCTGCACTACTTGTCTAGCCTGCAGCTCAAAGGTTGGGCCCTACTATTTTAGTTAACTTTCTAGAGAGTTTAACTGACAAAGGAACAGAACTTGCCATAGTGCCACATAAAGGCAGTTTGCCAGACTGTTTTCTGTGTATGTTAAAAACTAAAATACATTTGAGACTAAAGAATCACAAGAATGTTTCTAAAGAAGCCTATTTATTTCAAACCCTACCTCAGACCAGTCAGCTATCCCCTCAAGCTGTGACAACACACACAAAACCTACTTCTCTCTCTAATTCTGCCAGTTCTTCCAATTTAAACCATGAAAGATACGGGCCCAACAACCAGAAAATGAGCACTTAATTTACCTGTACACTGCTCTTTTTCGTCCTGCATTTAACAAGGTAGTTCTTGAATAAGAGAGCTTTGGTTTGCCTCCATATCCCTGTCTCTTTTGGAATTTCCACAGCCATTTTTCAGGCCTGTTAAAACAATACAAAACATTTGAAGTGACAAAGTGCTGAACCTGTTAGGATTAAAAAAAATAAAATAAAAACGTGCCAGCTAATTATATTGTTTTACTCCATGGATAAGCTGCTTCCCATTATACATGCTAGATCTCCTATTACCGTAAGAAGCTGTCAGCACAGAATTACATTGTACAGTTATATGACTCAGATGTCAAAAAATGGGCTGCCTTGTGGCCTGGGCATTGCAATAAAGCTTTTTTGAGAAAGGCTTCTTCTTAAAGAAACTAAATCTCTATAATCCTTAGAGTTAGGAATTAACATCACTTAAAATATAAAGCAAGGGTAAAATAATGCAGTGAGAAAGACTTGACTCTAACAAGTCTGAAGCAATACCCCCAGGTGATGTGAACTACCTTCTGTATTACAGCAGCACAGCCACTCCAAAGCCTATTGATAAAAAGACAGCTTTGTTTACTATTTCATGATGATCAAATACACAAGAACAAAGAGGGACTCATCACATTATGAAAACCATGTGATCTGCTGTTAGTACCATCTTACCAGCCTGAATTCTGGGAGAGCATCAGTGCTTTTTATTTTAATAACTGGATCCCTCATTAGACTGACCTATGAGTTATATAATGCTGGTGTGCTCTGTCCTTTGAAGAAATGGATTTAAAGAGGCAGCTTCAGAGGCTTCCAAGACATACCTAGTCTAGCAACCTGAATACAGGCTGAAGAACAGTCCTGGGTTTTAATCCCAGTTCTTGCTGTGAGGCTTTGGATAATTCAGTCTCTGTGTATCTTAATTTTTCCAGCTGTGAAACAGGAATAATAATAGTTACCTGCATAAACAAAAATATTCTGAGAATTAGTTTATGTTTGTGTACCACTTCGAAGAAATAAATTAAACTATGCTAAATAAATACCATAACCATCCCTTTCTCCTTGTCCCACGGTGGGTGAAAACATGAGGTGACACAGAATCCTCGGATGGAATTTTAAGTACATAACTTAGATCAGTAACCTCCTATTTATGGCACTATAGATTCATAGCATGTCGGTCCTCAGACAGAAGGCTGGAAAGGGCTGGGACAATGCCAGAAAGGCAAAAACCTTGCCATTTCTACACAAGGGAATCGATTCAATTTTCTAACCATTTCTTTAGGAAAAAAGAATACCATGGGCAGCTGGTCTTACCCCAAGTGCATACCATAAATGTCTGTCATATCAAGGTGCTTTGTAGATAAATGCAGTCATTCCTAAGGCTCTATACCAGACATCAGTTCAGATTTTGTATGAGAAACAATTCATAATGATGTACTAAGTGTATAGTCCATACACTACCATACTATTATTGTTATAAGCATAGGTAAATATTTTTGGTTGCTGTACATTCAAAGTGTAGGCAACAACACCCATTTACTCTCCTAACTTGTAGACAGACATCTGGCTGTTTACAGCTCCTATGCTGCATCATCATCACATGGAAGTTTACTTTCTACAATGCAGAGATCATCTGATCAAGGTAACACGCTCCACTAAGCTGAAGCTGGTTTATTACTATAAAAGTACAGCGGCACTGAAACATTTAGTAAAATGATCTATTCATAGGCAGACATTCATGTCACACTACTACTTTATAAGGGGAGCGTGGGGAGGCAAAAAAAAAATCCATGCTCACTACTTATTTAGGCTCCACTCTTGAATTCAAATATATCCAGGCTTTTGTACAGAGCTTCATTGACTTCACTGGGTTTCCAGGTGAGCATAAAAGTCCACCCATGCAGAACCAGTTGCAGTAGCAGGTCCTTAAAGGGTCATATTTTTTTAAATCCAGAAAGGTCAGTTTCATAGACAGATTCCATCCAGAGTCAAAGAAAATCCTTCGTCCTCTACATTTCAAGTACTTCTAGGTCTTAAAAGAAAAGAAAAAAACAAAACAAAACAAATTATTTAAATATCAACCCATGTTAATAATTAATTCCTAGGGGAAAAGCAAGCAGATTTAATTTCTCTGGAGATTTTCAAGTCAACCGCCTTAAAACAATGAAAATATATAGTGCTGTGACAAGATAAAAATGCAGTTGCTGTTTACAGACGGTGAAGTGAAAATGAATTTGTCTCTTCACACAACGTGTATTCATTAGCATATGCATTTTCACTGTTTGACATTCAGGAACAGAATTAAAAGGAAGCATTGCAAAAACTATCGGATCTCATAAGCACTTACACATACAAGTAGGTCCAGAGATTTGCACACTGTACGTCTGCCTAAGGGCTACCACTGCATTGCCCCCCCCCTTTACATTTTACTGTTTTAAGATGCATAACAATAGAGCCTATAGTTTCGCAGCATGCTATTTAAGGTTAGTTTTCACCTTTAAGTTTTCCTACCCAGTAAAAATTTTTCCATGTATTCAACACAATGCATCTATGCACCAATTCACTCTAATCCATTAGAGATTCACAGAAACATCCCTTCAAAATAAATAAACAAAATAGCGTTAATTTACTTCCTATTATTAAATGTAGTAAGATGCTCTCAGGATGACTGAATTTAACTTCCCTGAGACTATAGAAGGACCATGCTATACCCTGATGGAAAATGCAAATTTTCAGATGTCCACCAACAGAAATATGAATATGAATATGCACGATGAAGAAAAAAATGCATCCGCTGTCAAGACATTTATATGAAAGGCCTAAACAAATGCTATTTTATATGATTAGCCTAAGTAAATAGACATTTGTACTAATTTAACCCCATTTGGGATGAAATAAATATTTCTCATTTAAAAATTATGTCTATTTTTATGTCTACTTTTAACCTAAGTAGACATAAATGGAAAGGCTCTTTGCCAACAAACGCCCTTTACAACCGTAGCCACTTCCTTACAGTCTTCACCGGTAAGAGAAGTGGTTTAAAAGCAAGACAACCTGTGGGTATTTTGACCAAAGCACTCTCAGGTAAAATGATCCTTTTTTTAGTTTCTTGCCACGGATGGCATACAGACACTTATTTCAACACCGCAAAACAACAGCCATTGTGCTTAGATGGACAGTATATCTACCAGGCAAGATTTTTCTTGAAATATGTCTGCTAGGACAGTCATCCTAGAAGCCAGTCTGGTTGTCTTCGGTTTCATATCAATAGAGGACAGAGGACAACCAGACTGTCCTCAATGACGGCCATCCTATGATAGAGACTTGACCTCTGTCTTCCACTGATATGAAACTGGATGCCTTTATGTCCTCTATTTTTATCTTGAAAAATTTTGTCTTGAAAAATCTTGAAGAGAAAAACAGAGGACATAAAGGTGTTCGGTTTCGTATCAACAGATGACGGAAGTCAAGTCTCTATCACAGGGTGCCCATCATCGAGGACAGTCCAGTTGTCCTCTATTGATACCAAACCCAATGCCTTTATGTCCCCTGTTCTTCTCTTCAAGATTATTTTCTCTTCAAGATTATTTTTCAAGAGAAAAACAGAGGGCATCAAGGCACTGGGTTAGAGAGTAGAAGACAACTGGGCTGTCTTTGATGACAGCCACCCTAATGTCTGCCCGTGACCTTTCCACACCAAACGTCGCATCCAAACTTCAACCTTGTTCCTTAACGCTGAAAAGGAAAGTAAAGGGTGAGCTTAAAGTGGCTCGTCACGAGAAAAACAGGATATAAAGTTGTCCGGTTTCGTATCAATAGAGGACAGAGGACAAGCGGGCTATCCTCAATGACAGCCACCCTGTGACAGAGACTTGACCTCCATTCTCTATTGATATGAAACCCAACGCCTTTATGTCCTCTATTTTTCTCTTCAAGATTATTTTCCAAGGGAAAAATGGAGAACATAAAGGCGTCCGGTTTCGTATCAATACAGGACAACCAGGCTGTCCTCGATGATGGCCGCCCTAATGTCGACCCATGACCTTTCCATACCAAACGCCGCATCCAAACTTGACCTCTGTCCTCTATCGATACCAAACCCCACGCCTTGATGTCCTCCATTTCTCTCTCGAAGATTATGTTCTCTTCCAGATTATTTTTCAAAAGAAAAGCAGAGGACATCAAGGCGTGCGGCTTGGTATCCACACAGGACGGAGGGCAAGTCTCTGCCATAGGATCATCGAGGACAGTCCAGCTGTCCTCTATAGATACGAAACCCGACGCCTTTACAGCCTCTATTTTTCTCTTCAAAGATGACTTTCTCTTCCAGGTTGTTTTTCAAGAGAAAAACGGAGGACGTCGAGGTTTGGTATAAACGGAGGACAACCGACGGCCACCCCGGTGTGATCTTTCCGCAGCAACTCCGACCTGGCTGACACGCCGCGAAGGGCTGAATCAGGAGGGGCTCACGAGCAGCAGCCGAGTGAAAAAAGAAGACAGGCAGATGTGCGACCCGCGTTTCGGCCTCCCCTCCTCCCCGGCAGCCGGCACCGCCGCTACCTCCCCCTCAGCCCCGGGGCCGCAGCGATGGCGCCGCTGCCACCCCGGCCCCGGCCCCGGCCCCGCGCTTACCGCCGCAGCACCCAGCTCCCGCCGCCTCGGGC